ATGAGGACCCAGACTGTGGGGGCGATATGCTGACTCTGTAAACCGCTTAGAGAGGGCCGAAAGCCCTATGAAGCGGTATATAAGTCTAACTGCTAACTGCTAAAATTTAGTCACCATATTGCCAATGTTGTTACCTAGTGATCAGGTTTACTGATCTGCAGCAGTTTGATTCTGATTTATCAATTTTGCTGTGTGTGTGCAATATGTACGTACCTACCTATTTATTCTATAAGCCAATGAGATGTAGCTATAATTATTTACTAATTGAATAAATAATTATAATCTATAACATGGATTATAGATTACTCTATAATCCACGTTCAGGTGCACATCATCAATGAATGACCTTGGGCCAATCACAGACGCTCAGCCAAAATATAATTTCTGCCAAGGTTTGGCTTCCTCCAAACTTGTTGATTTTTCTACATTAAATGTGGTTTCTGTAGGCCAGTGATGGCTAACCTTTTCCGGACTGAGAGCCCAAAGTGTGCGCGCCCAAACCCCCATAATGCAATGCGCACACAGTCCTCTTGCACACGCCCCGCCCCACGCATGTGCACAGGGCTCCCTTCCATGCGCCCTGCCTCTTGCATGCATGCGCGGCAGAGACACAAACATCAGCTGGCCAGTGAGAGGCGTGCACTCATGCGCAGAACAGAACTGGGGTGACGGCTCGTGTGCCACCAGAGAGGGGACAGCATGCCACCTGTGGCACGTGGGTCATAGGTTCGCTATCATGGCTCTAGGTCCGGGATGGCGAACCTATAGCACGCGTGCCACAGGTGGCACGTGGAGCCATTTGTCAGGGCACGCGAGGCGCTGTCCTGTCAGCTGAGTTCACCCCTTTTTAAAGCCATTGTTTGCCCTCCCCAGGCTCCAGAGGCTTTATAGGAGCCTGGGGAGGGCAGAAAGAGCCTCCCCCGCTCCCCTCAGAGGCCCTCCAGAGGCTTCATGAGTTTCCTTGAAGCGCAAAAAAACAGCCCTATGGGCAAACTGGAAGTTCGGGACACGCCCCGCCCCACGGTTTGCTCGGAGGGTCGTTTTAAGTGTTCTGGAGGCTTCAGGGACGCCTCCTGAAGGTCCCTGAAGCCTTCGGAGCGCTCAAAACGACCCTCTAAGCAAACCGGAAGTCACTTCCGGTTTGCTCATAGGGTCTTTTTTTGCCCTCCGGAGACTTCCGGGAAGCCTCCTGAAGTTCCCTGAAGCCTCTGGAGTGCCTCCGGGGATAGGGGAGGCTTTTTTCACCCTCCCCAGGCTCCTATAAAGCCTCTGGAGCCTGGGGTGGGNTGAGTCAACCCTGAGCCGGTGAGATTTGAACCGCTGACCTGCTGATCTAGCAGTAGCCTGCAGTGCTGCATTTAACCACTGCGCCACCTTGGCTCATATTGATATCAACATATTGATATCAACATTGGAGCATGAATTGAACAAAAGAGAAATAAAAAACATTTCCATCCTAAAAATAAATATTATTTAAAATTATTTTTTTCCCTCACGTTACATAGTAATGGTAAGATGCAGTGCTGAGAAAGTCTGTGACAAGGCAGTTTTCAAAATGTATAGATTTACCAAGTTTTGTCCTAAAAACATCTGTGTTTCTCTTTTCTTTATATGGCATGCTTTCTAAAGGACTGAAGACCAAGGCGGACTACTTATATGGAAACCTCATCATACATTTGGAATGGAAACAGAGGCGGGCTAATCACGAAGCATTTCAGAGATGCAAAATCTGCCTGTGGCCTCTTATTATCTCTTCTAGGTAGGTACAGCACGTGGAACATGCCCACTTAAGATCCTATTCCAGAAGAGACTGTGAAAGAAACATTATGAGGTCCAGCTCGCTTCTGTCGGTATAGCAACATTCCTGTATATTCAGTTACCAAAGTCACAAATCCAAGGTCCTATAGGCAACTAATTTTTTTTTCCTTATCCCCAATCTTAAGGTCCATTCTTGGCTGCTCTCAGCTTCCGGCGAAAGTATTCGGGGGCCGCGTCATATAGCCAGTCAGCATCCACCACACAGAGGTCCCTCATGTAGCATTTGCTGGTGTGCAACAGTTCATTGTATGCAACGCAGGCTGGTTTGCAATGGAAAAGGACTGAAGAAGGGTGAATGGCCACTGGCTGATGGGTATCAGTTGTGGCATAGGTGCCATCTGGCTGCAGCTCTGCTGTATACATGAAGAGGCTATAGGCCAGGCAGCGGCGGATAGTCCCAGTATCAGAGCGGGAAGACTCCAAGGGTATCGAAAGCTGGATTTCAAGAACAAAAACATAGCAATAAGAACAAATCCAGAATTCAAGGAGGATATGTAAATAAAAATGAAGTAAATCTGCAATTAAGTAATGAATATTGAATAATGAGGATAAGTAAACATGATTAATAGACTTGGACGATAATGGTTACAAATGTGATGGTTATGTGATGTTTATAATGCTTGATATTATTAACTAATTCTAGATAAAACCGAATAGAGCGTTTAATTAAATAACAGAAAATGTTTAATAGGGATATGTGAAGAATATGATGAATAGATTTTGAGAATAGCGATTGTATGTATAAGGGTTATTATTTGTATTTAAAAGAGATTATACCCAGTCAGTACACTGCCATTGTGGACATGGAAATGTTATATATAACAAAGAAAACTGTCATAATTTTTTTTTTAAAAAGAACAAATCCAGAATTGAAGCTTTGGGATATACCAAGAAGTGAGATAATATTCTGACTTGGTAAATACATGAGGAATTTTCAAGGCATGCTAAGATTTCTCGCAAATGTCTTAGTAGAAGAGGCAGTCAGCAAAAATGGACAAACTGACCAAAGTTCTCCAGGAAACCTACCCATCACTCTTGCCTTGGTTTTGTTTCTAAGCAATCAGATATATTTCTAAACAAGGATACGCATTCTCATTATTTTCCAATTGTTTCTGAGGGTCTATAGATCTCACAAGCTCATGTTTTCCAATCCTGCCCCCCTTCCCCCCAAAAAATGGCTTGGATGAAAGAACAAGTGACCCTCAAAACAAGAAGTTATTAAATTAAGAGGGTCATGAATTGAGATTGGATGGCATGCCTACTTACATTATGATGGAAGTTAAAATGAATGCAGATTTTAAGAATTATTTTGTTAGGAGTGCCATTCTTAAAATTTGGAATAAAGTAAAGCTCTCCTCTAAGATACCTTTTTGGGGCCACCCCAGGAAGCCTTTTTTAAGAAAGGAAATGATGGTGGTAGACTTATGGTGAAATAATATATTTTATTCAAGCTGAATCTAATTTCAAGTCAAAAGAAGAATTGGATCAAAATTCAAAAGGATTGCTTGTCACTGGTTTCTATATCTACAACTAGCTGGATACCCGTGCTCCGCTACAAAATTATGTGATCGGGCTCCTCTCCTCTCCCCTTCTCTCCCTCAGGTTTGCCCCACAGAGCCCTTTCCTATCTTATCCCCTTCTCTCCCTCAGTCTAACTCATTAGCATCAGAGCCTTTTTCAGGTGGGGAGGGGGAGTAGAATGTCCAAACTCACAGCCCGCAGGACAGATGAGTCACTGGCTGGCCACTCCCACGCAGCAGTTGGAACAGAATTCTTTTCAGTTTGGGAGAGGGAGTAGAACATCTAACTCCTTAGCATCAGAGCGTATTAATAATAATATAAGAAATATTAATGATCTGATGGTCATTTCAAAAAATCCTTTCTTAGCAAGCACTTAGAAGCCTAGAGGAACATACATGCCAAATTTCAAGTTTGTAGGCTTTACGGTTCTGGAGATTTCATAATGTTGTGCGAGTGGTATTTCACTTTTATAGAGAGAGAGATTGAAAGAAAGATTTCTTTCAGATAAGAAAATTTGTGGTTTTGAAGCTGTTAAAGTTTTTTGAAATTGTATTGTGTGTTAATGATGAACGTCTTATATGTTAAAGTTTATAAAATGCCATTGAAACTGAATTTAGAAAGGGACTATATTAAAACACTGTATGACTCAATGGGAAAAATTGGTCTTAATATAATGCTTAAACAGTGTGAAAATATATGGACCAAAGTAGTGAAATTTTCACCTACCCACACGAGGTTAAATACTGCAGCACTAATAGGACCTTGATCCAGTTAAAAACCATACATTTTGATGGACATCTGATTCAACAGGAATCACTTTGAAACCTTCCAACATTTACCTTTATACAAATATCCCTTAGTTGAGCTCTAACATCTGAAACCAGCATCATGTTTCGACTGTTCACAAAATTTTCTTTGCACCATTCCTAAAATAAGCAGAAAAGAAAAGACGACAAAGGAGAAATTATCAGGAACATCAAGAATCAAGTAGCAACTGCCTTGGTATAGGATCTTTTAGAGCTTCTCAAATCTCAATCCTCTATACATGAGATACTGAAAGTCTGAGTCTATTCATTTCCTATACTGGGTTCCCTGATTCAGATCCATAATTCCCTTTCAAGGCACAAATCAGCACTGGCCAAATAATTTCCCCCCCTATCAATAAAGACACAAATCCTACATTACCAAGTAGTATTAAACTCCACAATCAAGCAGTCAACAGCAGTCAAGTATCAAGGAGAAAACAAGACCCACATCAACACTGACAGACTAGAATATAATAGAACAGAACAGGAACAGAAATAGAAATAGAACAAAACGGAACAGAACAGGAATAGAACAGAACAGAATAGAATTCTTTATTGGCCAAGTGTGAATTTGTCTTTGGTGCATATGCTCTCAGTATACATAAAAGAAATACATTCGTCATGAATCATAAGGTACAACACTTAATGATAGTCATAGGGTACAAGCAAGTAATCAAATCATACTAGGACAATCAATATAAATCGTAAGAATACAAGCAACAAAGTTAACAGTCATACAGTCATAAGTGGGAAGAGATGGGTGATAGGAACGATGAGAAGATTAATAGTAATAGCTACTGTATATCAACAGAGAGCGGACCCACTCCCTCCTAGCACTGATGTTTTGCACACATAAGAAATCTTGGACATTGGCTTCTGGTTATAAGGTGAGAAAATTTTGGACAAGCTAAAGATACGGCTTTACTTGTTTATTTCCAATATTTCCTATATCCTACTCCAATTCTGACAGATGCTGGGTAACTAATCAGAGAATAAAACCTAAAATATAAAACTATAATTAAAGTAAAGTAAAATAAAGTAACTAAACCAAACCAAACCAAACTAATAAAATATAAGGAAATAAGAAAACAAAACACTTTGAACCAAGCAAGCAAGTTGAAGCCATTTAGAATAGAATAGAATAACAGAGTTGGAAGGGACCATGGAGGTCTTCTAGTCCAACCCCCTGCTTAGGCAGGAAACCCTACACCACTTCAGACAAATGTTTACCCAACATTTTCTTAAAAACTTCCAGTGTTGGAGTATTCACAACTTCTGGTGGCAAGCTGTTCCACTGATTAATTGTTCTAACTATCAGGAAATTTCTCCTCAATTCTAAGTTGCTTCTCTCCTTGATTAGTTTCCACCCATTCTTCTTNGGGGGGGTCTCGCATTGCATTATGGGTGCGGTATGCCCGCGCATGACCCCCCTACGCTCCCCCCACTTATGGCACGCGAGCCAAAAAAGGTTCGCCATCGCTGCTCTAGGCTATATAAGCAATGGATTTTCTCTTTCCCCCTCCACACCCTATGAAATCCAAAAAGCAGGTAACCACCCAAGCTTAGTGGTGTATTAACCCTTAAGCAGACTAAGCACATGCTTAGGGCACTAGGCCCAAAGGGGGCATCACAAAGTTGAGAAAGAAAAAAAAACTTTGTACAGTATGTACAAAGGAAGGGGGCACCAAGATTTGTCAGTGCTTTAGGGCACCAGTGAGCTTTAATCCGCCATTGCCTAAGCTTCTTGCCCCACTTACGTTTCCCCAGCCACTTTCCGTGTGAGTTTGGCCTCAGTGCCATGAATGTCCAGCTCCCACCCTCCAGACATCTTCGGCAAGGATTTGTGTTTCTGGATCTTCTTCTCCTCTTGGATTTCATCATTTAGAAACTCGGTAAAAGCCTTGTCACCTGCAGATTGGAAAGAACAGCTGCTAGTTCATTGCATGCATTCAAAATGCACTTAAGGTAGCTAGCGTCCCAAAGGTGCTTTTTTCAAGAGGCAATTGGCCTTTCTGGTTTTTCTTTCTTCTCCGTAGACAACGTAGCTAGTGCTACTTCCAACTCACGAATCCCACAATGACATTTATATTATTAATTACTAAAGCATCGTAAAGGTTTGGTCACAGCAGATTCCCCACATCAGCGAATCTTGGTGAATCCAGAAAAAAGTTAAGCAGTTTTGAATGTGATCCTAATTTCTGCTGTAGATAACACTGACAGCAAAAAATGCTGAAAGGTGTCCAAGAGACCCCCCCCCCCCCCATCCACAACGTTGCCAAGAATTGAAGCTTTTATTTTTACCATGGGTTTGGGCTCAATTGAGCTTACCATCAATAGACAGAATAGAAAATAATAGTTCAGCAAACCTAAATTTCACCTAAATTGCACAAAAGATTCACCTAATCTTCTATTTTAGGCTCAAGTACTCAAAAACATTGGGTTTATTTAAAAAAAAACAACATTGGGTTCACAAAATTTTACTATATAAAATTTTACTATATATTTGTTCTAGATTCCCACAAATGATATGAAAATAGGAATCTCAAATCATTATCTATCCAATTATTTATTTACTTATTTATTTATTTAGTGCAAATTGTTCACTGTTCCACCACAATTATTTGGGCTGAGATACATCCAATTGTAGAGGATATTCCATTTTGGAAACTATAGTATAGATTTGCACAAGGAGATTATAGAACTCCAAATGTTATTTTCAATCCCATTCCAAATAACTTTCAGTCTGGAATTGATCGTCTTCATGGCTGACCAAAATTAGATTAAGGCACTGTGTTTTTCCACCAGACCTTTAAAATCCCTAACCGGTGGTGCTCCAGAAATGTGCAGACTACATGTCCCAGAATTCCTGGAAGAGGGAAGGACCTTTGAAATGGTAGTTTTAGCAAGTCTGAAGAGGCCCAGACTGGGTGCCTAGAAAAAAATAAGACTTTGCTTGCATGGATGATCTCCGGTTTATGCTCTCCCCCACCCCCCTCTCTCCAACCTGCAGCCCATTTCACCTTAAAATTAAGGGGCCTTATGATTCTTGATGAATGTATCTTGTCTTTTTATGTATACTTGACAGCATATGCACCAAAGACAAATTCCTTGTGTGTCCAATCACACTTGACCAATAAAGAATTGAATTATTCTACTCCTATTCTATTCTATTCATTCTCTTCTCTTCTGATCTATAACCTACTGCAGCCGAGCCGGCTGGACAAGCTGAATCAAGATACAATTTTGCTGCAGGCACATGGCGTCTGTTAATGCCCGCACACACCTTGATGTGAAAAGGTGCCTCAGTGGCTAAGACACTGAGCTTCTAGATCAGAAAGGTCGGCAGTTCGAGTCCCTAGGACAGGTCTCCTGCGTGAGCAAGGGGTTGGACTACATGACCTCCAAGGTCCCTCCCAACTCTGTTCCAGTTACATGCCTTGCGGGGTTGCGATTTGCGCCTACCGATCACCGAGCTATTTTATACAGTTTCCACGCGTCTTCTCCAACCGGTGGCCTTGATAGGCAAAGACCCATGGAAAACCCTCCACCCCATCTCCCCATTGTACCTTTTCGAGCCTAAAACGCAAGAGTCCTAATTCGCAACGTGGTATGAGCCACGTGAAAGTCAACGAGGTTTAACCTTGGCGCACAAGCATCCTAAAAGCTCCCCGGGTCCTTCTTCACCCGTGATCCCGATTCTTTTCATCCTCGCCTCGATTCTCCAGCTCCACCTTGTTGAGACTTTCGGAGATTACACCGGGGTGGCGGGATCCCCTCGCCACACCTCCGATCCTGGCGGAAAGCAACCTCCCCCCCACCCCACGACGGAATCCAAGGACTCCCCTCCAGACCCGCCGCGCCCACCCCAGGAGCCCGGTTGCTTCCGCGCGGAGTGAACGGGAGGTCGGCCCCTTTCGCTCACCTTCGGTATGGAGGCCGCCGCAATTGCAGGAGACGGAGGGGGAGCCCCGCAGAAGGCCGGGAAGGCCTTTCCCGGAGCCGCGGAGCACCCAGAGGGAGCGGGTGAAAGGCCGAGCGGCCACCGCAAGAGCGGCGGCCGCGGGGCGATGCGCGCCGCCGGTCTGCAAAGGGAAGAGCGGCAGGGAAGAGCGCGCGGCGGCGGCGGCGGCGGAGCGCAAAGCCCGGGCAAGCAGCATGGTGAAGGCCGGAGAAAGACGGAGCGAGGCGAACTCACGTGGGGGAAGCCCGGAAGGAAGGAAGTGGGGCGGGGAGAAAGGAAACCGAGCTCGCTAAGCCAGACTCCGCCTGCTCCAGCGTCCCTCCTCCTCCTCCTCCTCTTAAAGAAAGCGCCCAAAGCGCTGCTTTTCTCTCTCTTGGCACTCGGGCTGCTGTTTCCAAGCGGCGCGCCCTGCACAGCTGGTTGGGGTTTTGGGGTTTTTTTTTTGAGGAGGCTGGAAATGCTAGGCTGGAGTTCTGGATGTCCATGGCGGCGGATGCCTCGGGAAGCCCAGTTTGCAAAGGCGGGAAGTTAACATACATCGGCCCTGGTCTTTGGCCGACTGGCTTCAGAAGTAGATGAGCCCTGTTTCCTGAAGGACTCTCCTTTGATAATTACCGTGGTACATCGACGTGAATAGAGAAGAGAATAGGAATAGAATAGGAAAGGGATGGGATGGGATAAGAATAGGAATAGGAATAGAATGGAATGGAATAGAATAGGAACGGAATGGAACGGATTAAAATAGGAAATAGAATAGAATAGGAAAGTGATGGGATAAGAATAGGAATAGAATGGAATGGAATAGAATAGGGAGGGAATAAGAATAGAAATAGGAATAGAATAGGAATGGAATAGAATAGAGACGGGATAAGAATAGAAATAGGAATAGAATAGGAATGGAATAGAATAGGAATGGAATGGAACAGATTAGAATAGGAAATAGAATAGAATAGGAAAGGGATGGGATAGGAATAGAAATAGGAATGGAATAGGAATAGAATAGGAAAGGGATGGGATAGG